TATACACAAGTAAACCAATAGATGTTTATTTGAGTTATTGTTGCCCTAGTAACAGCCAGAGTCTTTTAAGGACGTGCCGGGTTTTGGACGAAAGGTGGAGTTCCCGGAGGAAAACCACCGACCCGCGGCCAGTACCTTTTGACTGCGCTACGTAGGTCTCTAACCCACGATCAAGAGGTGAAGGGTTAGTGATAAAAACGGTCAGACGCCTTGACCTCTCGGCGATGATGGCGAATGGAGGGAATTGCTATATTGTGTTACGATTTTGCATTTGTACAGGACATATAGCATTAAGTTTTAATCTTACAAGGGGACATAATTACGGAATCAGGTGACTATTGTACCCACAACAAGAAAGTCATGTGACTATCGGACAGGTAACAACGAAGTCACATGACTTTCAGATAAGATAGTGACGTCAATTTATACAATGAAATAACACATTTGATCAGTGACAGCGAAGGTTTTTTTTTCTTTTTCTTTTTTAAATATTTGCTAATTGTTATAAATAGCTTATCGCAGAGCAGGCGTGCTTGATTGGTGATAAACACATAAATATCAGTTTCTCAAATCTTCTAAATATAAGTAAATACTGTGTATTGTTTACATGTGGGAAACCAGCAACGTTGTTTGTTTAATGAAGAAATATGTCTGAAACTGAGTACGTTCTGATAAATACACTTTCGATCTATCAACCCTGGACTCAGGGAGTGCAATACCATTATAGAAAGGTATAATGTTTGAGGGATGCCACACGCGATATTTCTATCAACTACTGGCTCTATTTGTTTGTTGGTGTTCTTCCTTTTCACAAAAATAAACAAGAAGCGATGTTTGACAGATGTGAGATCAAATGTAACGCGCTGTAGGTCGTTCTCCTACACGGGGAGCGTGACATGTGATTACATGAAATTTACTCATTCTCGATCAGTCTCCCACAATCACGCTCACCACTGTTACACCAGGGCGCTAGAATCTCCTAAACTATTCTATAATATCGACAGCCTCATTTCATTGTTACACTATAACGACACCCAGGTGTGTATTTTGTAAAACCTAAACGTACAACAATAGGTAACCATATAATGGCACACTTTTGATTACAAAAATGAATCCAAATAAATAGATAGATTGATGAATAAATAAGAATTATTTATAATAATTTCTACAGCGTCTCTCTGTCGAAATCATTCCTTTATTCCTGTTTGGGCCTTGTTTAAGTCGGCCTGGTTGAATTTTTACGATTCTATTATACTTTGAATCCACAATGGACTTTTTATATCAAACAAATCACACATGCAGTTCCATTCATATCCTTGCATTTATTGTTAATTGTTAAGACCACACATGGCACCACAGAGAGATGAACATTAGCTGTTTAGTATCGACGCGGATCTCCTTTAATGTGGTTCAGGCATACAAAAGAAACACAAATGGTTAAGAAACTTACATTACAAACTGTTGTAATAAGAAGCGGTATTGAAAATTAACCTGTCCCTGACAGGATTCGAACTAGTGACCCTTCAGTCTCTAGCCGGACACACTTCTGCTCAACTAAACGGAAATTCTCATTAGCCATGGCTAGTAAAACAGTCTGTATATTATCAAAGTAAAACAAAGCATCTGTTTCGTCGTTCCATGAAGAAAACGACCGAAGCAAATGCTATTCCACATATGAAAGTAACACTAGTTCAAAATTTAATAAAAAAATATTATCTATCGAATTTTTTTTATACATATACATACATAAAAAAGAATTACGGTGAAATATTTGTCTTGAATGTTTGTTTACGAAAATCTTTATAAGCCTGTTTTCCTTCATTACGTAGTTACTTTACTAATAAATAACAAGGATAGTGTTATAGTGGATGGTTAATCGGTAACTCGGATTGGCGGCCTGAGACTATTTGGGTTTGTTGATTGTGGAAAACGATTGAGGCGACCGTCAGTCCGGTCCGGAAATTACAATCTCCGATCTCTAGGTAACACTTGTCCAGATGGCCAATGCTGACTTATGACTCCAATAACAACAAACAGATCTTCAAGTGTGTTATGAACGTAGTACACTTCATGAGGTAGGCGTAGAGACACTCTACTGAATCTGATTGTTTGCCCACGATTTTCATCAATAAACGTATGATATTGAGTGTAGCTCGTTATCCTTGGGACGCCGTACTATGTATGTCATATGTGTTGACGTGACGTCATGGTCTGGCTGTTATGCAAATCGTCTATTTTCCGTAAATAAAGACATGAATTCGAGGGCAACGAAGTGTTGAGAATTCAATAGGCATTAGATCATTTAGAAGATATAAAAGAATAAAAGCCATTGATCTTTATAACCTGGTTTGTTTCATACTCAACGTCCATCCAACAGTGCGCTTGTTTGAGCTCTCCATGGTACGTAACATCACCTTTAGGGTATGGTAATTGTGACAACAATACGTTTAACGCAGCGATGCGGTGTTCTTGTGAACTAATTACACTGAATTGATTACTGAAACGCGAGTGCATTTTTTTTTCTTCTGATAAATACGACAGGAATGATATGTCCACTCTAATACTTGGGACAATTTGAATAGAAATTAACAACAAACTTGGGATATCGTTTTTGCTGAGCGCTCCATTACGGTATTAAAATGATCGGGTCAATAAACTGCATCTGACAACAAATAGCTAACATATCAAAGTATCAAGGCCATCGTACATATCGCCATTTTTTAATTCGTTCAGGATTCAGCATTTACTTTGTTTGGTCAATGGAGTCAATTTGCAATATTATAACCAGGATCTGCCTTCCGTAAATATCATATTTGCATATGTAACACAAAAGCGTCAATGATGTCAATGACCCCGAATGAACCTGTGACGTCATGAACATGATGTCAAGCACAATAACGCGACCCGGAAGGTCAATAAAATTTCATCTTATTTTGAATATTACTGACGTCAAGAATTGTTTTGAAATATTGAATAGATACGTCTCTATATTATCATGATTTTGCTTAGTTTACTACTGTGTTTGCGGGGGTGTATCTTGCAATACTTTTAGAAAAATTAAATATCCCCTTCACTAAGTCCGCTATGCGTCACCATTAAAACTCAATTTTCGACAGAAAAAAACACAGTCAAGTAACTGGTAACAGCTTTAGCAATTTTTTACTCTCAAGGTATCTACTTTTTCCAATTTAATTAAATCCTCAAAAATAAGATAACCTCGCAAATTTCAACATTTGCAGTACATCTTTGTAAACACAACAAGTTCATCATAAGTCTCCCCATTAAGACATCACTAATTAACTCATCGCGTTTGGCAGTTCATACAACCACTACTTCTGTCGACCTTAAAAAATTACTTATGTAAGTTTTGATAGTATTTAGGGGTCGTTCTGTCAAAGTAGGTCAAAATTGCTTGTTATTGTCGGCAGCGGGATAAAAAGTAAGTACTTCTGTCATCTTTCTTTAATCGCACTGGGTCTTTTCTGCAAGAAACATTTGTGATAACAATGTTAACCAAACATGAAGACATATCGCCGTGGGTGTTAGACCAATGCATTATGTAATGTAATAGCATGGTATCAAATGCACTGCTTCTATAGCAAATCTGTCATTCTCCAACTTTCCTTAAGGTGCTTTCTCCACACACTACTTACATAAATTCTTGTCTGATGGCGTGCCAAAAATATGTGTAGTTCCCATTATCGTTTCACAATATGCCACAGAGAAATACAGATAAACATTCTCCGGTATGAGTACGCCTCCTCTGGCATGAGTACGCCTCCTCCCTTCAGGTGAGGCGTGATGGATGGCATCGTAGTTCTGTGATAAACCAAAACGAGGTTCTCTGTGTGATTGTTTGTCTTGTTGTTATTAGATAAAATTGTTAGAAAGTGCCTGAAGTGAAACAAGTGCCAATTACCACAGACACTTGTACATGTAGATTTGATAAGTAACAAGAAAGTTGGTCCTTTTCCTTTGAAACCGTTGATATTGATAAAATCAACGAACGACGTAAAACATGTTCAAGAGTCTGTAACATCGCTGTATTATCACAAATGGTAGAACTTGGAATGAATGAAGAAATGAATGAATGATTGAATGAATGAATGAAAGGATGAATAAATAAATTAATTAATAAAAGCATTAATGAATGAATGAATGAATGAAAGGATAAATAAATTAATTAATAACAGAATGAATAAATGAATGAAAGAAAGGATAAATAAATCAATTAATTAATGAAAGCATGAATGAATGAATGAATGAATGAATGAATGAATGAATGGATGGATGAATGAATGAATGAATGAATGAATGAATGAATGAATGAATGAATGAATGAATGAATGAATGAATGGATGAATGAATGAATGAATGATTTTTTTTATTACTTATAAATTAAAATGAAGTAACACCATATCTGATGCTTACATTAACCGCCGTCATAGGATGTGATTGTAAAATGAAACCTTTTACATATAACGTACGAATTGAAGTTTTCCAAATCGACCAAAAACGCAGATCTGAATTATCATTTTATGCAAAGATAAAAGACGAGTGTGTCGTGGGCGTGTTATTACAAACACGTACAGAAAAGGAGGGTCAGTTTGTTGTGGGTTACAGTAGGCACAAGCTCGGACCATGTTCTGACTCGGGATCAACTGATCACGTTGATTACCAACGTCTTTGACAATGAAACATGACGACTTTTAACAACTTCGAAATGCTGTTATGATTTTATATCTCGTTTGTTTTTTTAAACAGCACTGACGTCGATAAAGCTCCAGATACCAATAGGGCGTTTTCTAAAAATATCAGTCTGAAATTAGACTGATTTCTAAACACAAATTAATTGAATTGAATTTTACAGTATTTTCACCGTTCTTAAAAGTGTTTAAAAACTAAACCATACAATAAATAAGATTTCACTTATAATACACACAAATTGAAATTTCTGTATGACTATATCTCATTTTTTATCCGTGTTTTTGTATTTGCAGTGACGTCACTGATCGCCAGTATTTTGTCCCTCACATTGATCGCTGTGGATAGATTCTTTGGCATTGTGTTCGCTATGAAGGCTCACATAATAGAACGACGTGCTTGCCATTCCTTAGTGGTGATATGGGTGATTTCTATCATTGTTGGAGCGCCACTGCTCTACATCCGGCAAGTGCACGAGCGACATTGGAAGGATCACGTGGAACGTTGGTGCGACGGAGAATGGCCGTCTGTCCAATATGGCGTCAGCGCTGACAATAAAACCTTGTACTATCGTCCAGCACGAGTGGCCTATTGGACGTTTGTGTCACTAATGCTGTTCATCATTCCTATTCTTGCCATGTTTGGTGCTTACTGTGGTATAATGAAGACTCTCTGGTCAGCTAGGGCACCGGGAGAAAGACTTAAAGGGGAAATCAAAGTCCAAACGAAAATGAAAAGAAAGGTGGAGTATATTTTGAGACTAAACATGTTTTTATTGATACTTCATTTTCGAAATACAAACGAATGATGTGGAAAAGAATATCCTACCTGTCACACCAATACAATAACAGACACACCAATACCATAACAGTCACACCAATACCATAACCGTCACAACAGTACCATAACCGTCACACCAATACCATAACCGTCACACCAATACCATAACCGTCACACCAGTACCATAACCGTAACACCAATACCATAACCGTCACACCAATACCATAACCGTAACACAAGTACCATAACCGTAACACCAATACCATAACCGTAACACCAATACCATAACCGTCACACCAATACCATAACCGTAACACAAGTACCATAACCGTAACACCAATACCATAACCGTAACACCAATACCATAACCGTCACACCAGTACCATAACCGTAACACCAGTACCATAACCGTCACACCAGTACCATAACCGTAACACCAATACCATAACCGTCACACCAGTACCATAACCGTAACACCAATACCATAACCGTAACACCAATACCATAACCGTAACACCAATACCATAACCGTCACACCAGTACCATAACCGTAACACCAATACCATAACCGTAACACCAATACCATAACCGTAACACCAGTACCATAACCGTCACACCAGTACCATAACCGTAACACCAATACCATAACCGTAACACCAATACCATAACCGTCACACCAATACCATAACCGTCACACCAGTACCATAACCGTAACACCAATACCATAACCGTAACACCAATACCATAACCGTCACACCAGTACCATAACCGAAACACCAGTACCATAACCGTCACACCAATACCATAACCGTCACACCAGTACCATAACCGTAACACAAGTACCATAACAGTCACACCAGTACCATAACCGTAACACAAGTACCATAACCGTAACACCAATACCATAACCGTAACACCAATACCATAACCGTCACACCAATACCATAACCGTAACACAAGTACCATAACCGTAACACCAATACCATAACCGTAACACCAATACCATAACCGTCACACCAGTACCATAACCGTAACACCAGTACCATAACCGTCACACCAGTACCATAACCGTAACACCAATACCATAACCGTAACACCAATACCATAACCGTCACACCAATACCATAACCGTCACACCAGTACCATAACCGTAACACCAATACCATAACCGTAACACCAATACCATAACCGTCACACCAGTACCATAACCGTAACACCAGTACCATAACCGTCACACCAATACCATAACCGTCACACCAGTACCATAACCGTAACAAAAGTACCATAACAGTCACATCAGTACCATAACCGTCACACCAATACCATAACCGTCACACCAGTACCATAACCGTAACACAAGTACCATAACAGTCACATCAGTACCATAACCGTAACACCAGTACCATAACCGTCACACCAATACCATAACCGTCACACCAGTACCATAACCGTAACACAAGTACCATAACAGTCACATCAGTACCATAACCGTCACACCAATACCATAACCGTCACACCAGTACCATAACCGTAACACAAGTACCATAACAGTCACATCAGTACCATAACCGTCACACCAATACCATAACCGTCACACCAGTACCATAACCGTCACACTAATACCATAACCGTCACACCAATACCATAACAGTCACATTAATACCATACCCATCCCACCAATACCATGACCGTCACACTAATACAATAACAGACACACCAATACCATAACCGTCACACTAATACCATAACCGTCACACCAATACCATAACAGTCACATCAATACCATACCCGTCACACCAATACCATAACCGTCACACTAATACCATAACCGTCACACCAATACCATAACCGTCACACTAATACCATAGCCGTCCCACTACTACCATAACCGTCACACCAGTACCATAACCGTCACACCAGTACCATAACCGTCCCACCAATACCATAACCGTCCAACTAATACCATAACAGTCACATTAATACCATAACCGTCACACCAATACCATAGCCGTCCCACTACTACCATAACCGTCACACCAATACCATAACCGTCACACCAATACCATAACCGTCACAACAATACCATAACCGTAACACAAGTACCATAACCGTAACACAAAGACCATAACCGTCACACCAATACCATAACCGTCACTTCAATACCATAACCGTAACACAAGTACCATAACCGTAACACCAATACCATAACCGTCACACCAATACCATAACCGTCACTTCAATACCGTAACAGTCACACTAATACCATAACCGTCACACCAGTACCATAACCGTAACACCAATACCATAACAGTTACACCAATACCATGACCGTCACATCAATACCATAACCGTCACACTAATACCATAACCGTCACACCAATACCATAACCGTCACACTAATACCATAACCGTCACACCAATACCATAACAGTCACATCAATACCATAACCGTTACACCAATACCATAACCGTCACACTAATACCATGACCGTCACAACAATACCATAACCGTCACACTAATACCATAACCGTCACACCAATACCATGACCGTCACAACAATACCATAACCGTCACACTAATACCATAACCAGCACACTAATACCATTACCGTCACACTAATATCATAATCGTCACACCAATGCTATAACCGTCACACTAATACTACTACCGTCATACCAACATCCGACCTGTCAAACCAACATCCTATACGTCAAACCAACATCCTACCCGTCATACCAACATCCCACCCGTCATACCAACATCCTACCCGTCATACCAACATCCAACCCGTCATACCAACATCCTACCCGTCATACCAACATCCTACCCGTCATACCAACATCCAACCCGTCAAACCAACATCCTACCCGTCATACCAACATCCTACCCGTCATACCAACATCCCGACCGTCATACCAACATCCCACCCGTCATACCAACATCCTACCCGTCATACCAACATCCTACCCGTCATACCAACATCCAACCCGTCAAACCAACATCCTACCCGTCATAACAACATCCTACCCGTCATTCCAACATCCTACCCGTCAAACCAACATCTACCCGTCATACCAACATCCCACCTGTCATACCAACATCCTACCCGTCATACCAACATCCCACCAGTCACACCAACATCCTACCTGTCATACCAACATCCAACCCGTCAAACCAACATCCTTCCCGTCATACCAACATCCTACCCGTCATACCAAGATCCCACCCGTCATACCAACATCCCACCAGTCACACCAACATCCAACCCGTCAAACCAACATCCTACCCGTCATACCAACATCCTACCCGTCATACCAACATCCTACCCGTCATACCAACATCCCACCCGTCATACCAACATCCTACCCGTCATACCAACATCCAACCCGTCAAACCAACATCCTACCTGTCATATCAACATCCTACCCGTCATTCCAACATCCTACCCGTCAAACCAACATCTACCCGTCATACCAACATCCCACCTGTCATACCAACATCCTACCCGTCATACCAACATCCCACCAGTCACACCAACATCCTACCTGTCATACCAACATCCAACCCGTCAAACCAACATCCTACCCGTCATACCAACATCCTACCCGTCATACCAACATCCCACCCGTCATACCAACATCCTACCCGTCATACCAACATCCTACCCGTCAAACCAACATCCCACCCGTCATACTAACATCCTACCCGTCATACCAACATCCAACCCGTCAAACCAACATCCTACCTGTCATATCAACATCCTACCCGTCATACCAACATCCTACCCGTCAAACCAACATCTACCCGTCATACCAACATCCCACCTGTCATACCAACATCCTACCCGTCATACCAACATCCTACCCGTCATACCAACATCCTACCTGTCACACCTACATCCTACATTTCACACCAATATCCAGCAGTCACACCATCATCTTTATTGTCAACAGTTAAACGTCTCTTATTGAACACTGGCGTTTAATGTTTACAGTCAAACGTCTCTTACTGAAACACTGGGATTTACTAGATACAGTCAAACGTCTCTTACTGAAACACTGGCATTTACTAGATACAGTCAAACGTCTCTCACTGAAACACTGGCATTTACTAGATACAGTCAAACGTCTCTTTCGGATACGTCTCATTCGGATACAATGGCGTTTATCGTTCTCAGTCAAACGTCTCTTTCGGATACGTCTCATTCGGATACAATGGCGTTTATCGTTCTCAGTCAAACGTCTCTTTCGGATACGTCTCATTCGGATACAATGGCGTTTATCGTTCTCAGTCAAACGTCTCTTTCGGATACGTCTCATTCGGATACAATGGCGTTTATCGTTCTCAGTCAAACGTCTCTTTCGGATATGTCTCATTCGGATACAATGGCGTTTATCGTTCTCAGTCAAACATCTCTTTCGGATATGTCTCATTCGGATACAATAGCGTTTATCCTTTACAGTCAAACGTCCCTTTCGGATACAATGGCGTTTATCGTTCACAGTCAACATCTCCTACTGGTACAATGACATTTACTCTAAACAGGTAAAGCTAATTTGCTTACCTTTCAATACAGTTTCCACTTATATCAAGAACCTTTACAAAATGGCACATATCACGACAAAACGAAAAGAACCATGCTCTCAAATCATTGTAAAACGATATGGGCATTCCGGTTCCGTTTTTGTCTGTTCTAAATTTAATAAACAAATACATTTTCTGTTTTAAACGGTCAATAAATATTCTAACTTAGCACGCTGCTAAATTTTATCCTATGTTCCTTGTCAATTACATAAATGCCTTCTATTTTATGAAATATGAAATGGATTTTCTAAATATCTTTTAAATAACTTTAAAAATTTAAAAATTTGAATGTGAAATAAACTTCAAAAGAAATAATTTACTACTGCTATGGATGAATCAGCCAGACTGATGCCAGTTTATCAGGATATAATTACTCA